AAAATTTTAAAGTTTTTTCACGGGCTTTGATATTGAAAATTGATCGAATCGATCAAAAGCCACGTCTACAATACAATATAAACTGAGAATAGCTCCGCGTTTAACAGCAGAAACTATAACGGATACAGTGATAAAAATTTTCCACTTATATTCTGCAGCACCTGTACACAGAATATCTAGAGCATAGAAGAGATCTGGTCAAAGTCGAAATGTAGTTTTCTTATTTGTTTGTATTTTATCGTCTATTACTCAGGAGATGTAAGAAGGGTAGTGATTACGAAGGATTGTAGATAGATTAAAAAAGTAAAAAAAAATGGCTGCTGTAGTCTTATCCGTCTGCCTATCTATCGTCTCCGTAAGTGATGCCAAGTTTCTTTCATTCACTCTTATTATTATTTTAATTTAACCTAAAATATGCAACACTTATTGATATAAATAGAGAGCAAAGAATAAAAACTTTTTAAGAATAAAAAAATCTTTTTTTATCTATAAAACTTTTAATATGTTCTGCTTCGGACAATTAGTTGATGTTCCCTGTAAAAGATATCAATTCGAAAATACTCCAAATCGAATCACTGTTACATTTGGTATTTCCTAATGAAAATTTTAGCTACTAGGATACTTAAGGTCCATAGTCGCATTTCATTTCGTATAGTTAGCACTAATGACACAGTGCAGCCTTCTCTCGTATAGCACAGTACTTGTATAAGACAGTTTCGAAATTGAACGATACGGATTAAGTGTGCTATGCGAGGGACGTCTGCAGCTTTTGGTAAGGTGTTGTATGTGTAAGAAAGATAAGTTGCAAGCTCGCAATTATTCACAGAATATAAGCGCATCAGGTAAGAGATCATGCGGCGTATGAACTAAAGCGCCAGATTTATGAACATAGAAGATATGTAGATAAGCATTGGTTCCACTTTCATAAGCTCTTAACCTAATTAATGGAATTGCGGTTTAATTTAACTGAGTAACATTAGATCGTCCTGTTCTATTTAATGTGCTTAAGTAGATAAGTAGCGCTGCAATAGTTTTATAGATCCGGTACGAAGGTTATCTTTAAGCCCCGTACGAAGATAATAAATAGTTCGCTCACCTGGATAAGAACTACGGCAGGAAAAAAGTAAAAGAGAATTACTAGAGGGAATGGCATTCAAAATTGGATATCACCGTGGTAAACTGTTATTTATTTTAATTTATTTTATTTATTGAAAAACTTAGCTGTGCCAAATTTGGACCATCTCGCTTGAATCCTTCCCTAATAAGGATCTTCACGGAAATTGATCTTTTGTAAATGACAAATGTCTAAATTTTAATATATGGGGAGGAAACTTGACCTATAATAGCAATTCCATACAAAGAAGATGAACTCTATATAATTTGGACCATCTATGTAAGGATTAAACTAGTAGTACAAGGTTTTTTTAGGTTGCAACTCGGTCCCGTTTCCCCACAAATACGCACTTGAAAAATATGCCTTTATATAGAAACAAGATGTATTATTATTACTGATTTCGCCAGAAAAATAAATTCTAAGACTAAACTCTTAAAGCACTAGCATATAAGGCTATCGAACCCACGACCATTATGTAACTAGTCGAGATTCCCCGCCTTCGGCCACTCAGGCGGATAGAAACAAGACATAATTTTCGTGTTCTAGTAAAAATGAAAACTGTGTTTGACAATGCGGTGTAGCGCATTTAGTGACCGACTATTATATTCTTACTTGTTATCTTTACGTTTTGACAGCTATTTTGCTTTGTTCAATTCTGACGGTAAACTCCAGTATCTTGCTATTTATTTTAAATTCTTTTTCTTTTTAGTTCTTTACCTCATCAATAATCAATATAAATATAAAATTATTTCTACGTTGCTTTTCCTTATATTCGTTATTTATAGTCGTGTAGAGATGCTTAGTTTTACACTACTTAAAGTGCGCTATACAGTGCTTGCGTTATGCGTTATGCGTGAGTCTCAATCACGTAAAATCGGCTCCACACACACCTTGCGCGTTTTGCTAAAGCAAAATCATATGACTAGCGTTTGTTTACACAAAAATTGATGAAGTACAAAATTGATAGAACTATTACTTTGAAAAATGAAAGAAATGAAAGAAAAAATAATAAATAAAGCGAAAATGTTATTACTACCTTTACGATTTTTATTACTTAGTTTAAATTAAATTGAATTTTTTCTTCTTTCTGGCCGTTTTCCATAGCATATAAAATCATATGATATTGTTTGGTTTTTTGTAAACACATCAGTTCAACTATATACAAATAGAAACGATTAGTATTATATTGATAGCTCGCGAGCTATGCGCAACGCATAAAGCAAACATTGTGTTTGGTGCTTAAGCCATATGTTGTTCCCTTAATTTTACTTTTCAAGTGACATGATAAAGCAGAGGAGCCGGGCTTTCCATTACGTTAACTATTTGTGGCCATAAATTCCGAGCATGGGTTCTTCATGTCTTTTTCCTAATGGCTGACGAAATTAATAAACTTTTTAGATAACATTAGCATTTGTATCGTTAAAAATAAAGCACTCTGTCTGGAGGAAAATAAATATATTTGGTTGTCGAAAAACAAGCACGCACAAATTTTAAAAGTTTGGCAAGAACTTGCGTTCATGCACCACGCAAAGCAAGCCACATGCATGTTCAACTATATGCAAAGCTAATCAGGCGATCTAATCATGTTTCCTTTCCGATTCACCCATCTTCGCGTTGCGTATTACTCAGAATCTAACAAGAACTTATCCTGGCAAGAATTTATGTAATAAATACATTTCTTCTATAAGGGAAGAGTGCAAGATTCACTGCAGATATCAAAGTGCACTTTTAATTAGTTTTTATATTTGTGCATTAATTGCAATTATGCAAAAAATCCGGTCACTTGTTATTAAAATATTTATATGCAATAATTATATTAATATATTTGGTTGTATGAGTTACTGGAATTCCAACACTATAAATAAGAGCGATTTTTGCGTAAAGGTTTCAGTTTACATTTGAACCTTTTTTCTTGACGGTGTGGAGTGACCTTTTTATCCGATTGCAATTCGAAAAAGCAAGATAATTTAAAAAATGTTACTAATTAAAACAATTTATGCGAAAATCGTGGAATATGAGAGAGAAAACATGGGTATACCAATAGAATTATGATTCCATTATGGGCATGCTTTTAAAGAGTCTCTCATATTAACAGATCCTCGTACGGCCGACATACCTGTGGCGTCATCGTTGAAATATACGTTTGCTTTGATAGGCATATATTTGTTGATAGTTTTGAAACTCGGTCCGGCTCTTATGTCTAATCGGAAACCATTCGAAATTAAGCGAATTTTGCAGATTTACAATATACTGCAAATTGTGGGCAACTTGTATTTGCTTTACCAGGTACGGATATGCATTTGTATTGACTTGTACAATAATTTAAGAAAAGTATCCCTGAAAATCATTTTTGGTTTTGTTGATGGAAGTTCCACTCAATATTCCTCTAAAATTTTAACAATTAGTGCGATTTAAAAATTTTCTGTACAGTGCCTTAAACTCATACTATTCGCTTGATAGCTTCAAGTGTAGCAAAGGTTTATCCTTTTACCTGAGTAATCCCTTTGTTCCTTTGATAACAGACTGAAGAATATTGATAAATAGGATCATAAAGCTAAAGTCACTTAAGAAGGAATTTGCGTAACACAAACGATCTCAAAGGAATATGCAAAGATGGCACAGTTCTCAATTGACCGGGCCATTTGCACATGCTCTTGGTAAATATTTGTTGTGATGTTCCGAATTGTTTCTGTTAAATCTCCTTGAAAGTACATCCATCTGTACATGTTGTTTGTTTGTGGAATTTTTATAGAGCGCACAGTGACACAGATAGTTGAAATTTTTTTGGTTGACGCCTAGATGACAAGGGGGTTACGTTGTATCTAAGTACTTGCAAAACAGAAACCCCTTCAAAGGCGCATTGAAATCTGTCACTTTCTATTCTTCACTTTACTATTTTGCATTCCGCGTACTGCTTACTATTTATAAATTTGTTATTCTTTTTCCTTCCATCCAGTGTTTTCTTTATTATTTGTATCATCCCAAATTTAGATGGACTTGCTTTAATACCGCTAAAACAGACTACAGCGTGGAGACCATGGAATTTCTAACACCGACTATTTTAGGATATTGGCTGAAGTTTTTCGATTTTCTAGATACCGTAAGTAGATTGAAATTGCTTTGGTTTTTCATTAATATTATTATTATTTTTATATAAACTTTGCGCTGAGAAAGTAGTCATTGCCACGGTCGACGATCTCTTTCGATTAAAAATAACATCGTGTTGACTTCTACTTGAATTGGGAAATTTGCCCTGATCCCGAAAAGATGTAGCGAAGAACTCAGATTTTACTTACTGAACTTTTGTTGATGACTTGAAATTTAATTTTCTACTTACTAATTGAGGGTTGACTTACGTAAATGAAATGTATTTAAAGTGATTCCATTTTAGTGAAATCTCTTCATAGGTCGACGGCCGCAAATTTCAACTGTTACGTTAAACCTTACAGTTGACAAGATATGGATTGAGAACTTCATAGACGTTAAAGTTGCGTCAGTTGCGTAAACGCGCGAGAACTGATTTAAGTGAATACGCAAAGACTTTAAATTCATGCTTCTTGCAGCTTTTATATAAAGCCATTTCTCATACAGTGCTTGCTTTTATTCATTCTGTTAAATTTGAGTGGTGAACTAGAGGAAGAAAAAAAATTGCTGGACATCGGTATAGTGACCATTAATCTATATGTATATTTCCATCTGTCTTTTAGATTTTCTTCGTTTTGCGGAAAAAATGGAATCAGGTTTCATTTCTGCACGTCTATCATCATGCCATTACGTTTTTTGCAGCTTGTATGTATGTGAAATATGGTTTTGGTAAATATAGAAAGCATAACACTTCTTGTTTTACTTAACATAACTTTATTTATACTCGCAGCATCCCATTTTACTATGGTGCCTTTTTGCAATTGCTTTGTACACGTTGTTATGTACAGTTACTATTTGGCAGCTTCTCTGGATTTGAAAATTGATTTTCTACCGTGGAAGCGAAGTGTAACACAAATACAAATTTTACAATTTTTGTTTTTGTTAGTGCATACAATGGCAGCAATTGCTGATAATTGGTGTGGATTATCTATGCTTCTGTTGACCGTTTTTTTCCTACAGGATATATTTATGCTTGCCATGTTTGGTAACTTCTATTATAGAACCTATTTGGCAAACCGTCGAAAGATCGAGAACAATATGAAGAAAATCAAGGAAACTTAGATTTCCATACGTATGTTGTTATTGAACTCCATATGACGTACTTCACTTGAAATAACATAGCTAGAGTTTAAGAATTGTAGACGAATTTATGACTTTGACACTAATAATCGTTTCCGTTATTCTCGCTGGTCGGCAATATAAAATCTCTTATTGAGGGTAAGGCATTGGATGTTAAAGATTGGCGAACATCACTTTCTTACTTCTCTTAGCATTGTTGTATTTTAATCTTACCTTAGGTTAACTTTAACCCTATTAATGTGGATTTGCATTACATTTTTTTAGATTAAATATAGATAACTATTTTTCTAACGTAGTTAAATTAAAATAATTAAAAAAAAAATTTGTAAAAAATATAATAATTGTTTACCTTACTTGGTTATTTATTGGTTACTTATTGTTAGATAACGTTTAATAAGGTTAGTTCCTAATAATTACTAGGTTGTGTTCGTATCGGTTTTATTGAATATTCTTGCTTTGCAGTGCTTTTTATATATAACACATTTATATATAACGAATTGAATATGTAAAAGGAATGAAAGAATGCAAGCAATATTTTCCTATGTAACTACACACATATATAGCATTGTACAAAGGCAGAACTGTTTGTCGATAAAGCACATTTCAAAAGTTTTATTATAAAATTTAATAAGTAAATGTTATTCCTACAAAAGCATACAATTTTGTTTATCGAGTACTGTGTATGATGTTAAAAGAATACAGAAGTTAATTAACACGACGTTGATTTTTTGAATGCCTGACTGCAACTGACTATTGTTTAAAATTATTCTTTAAAAACAAAATTTTGGTGCAATTACAACAAGTAAGAAAATTACATCTGATCGTCATGGAATCTTAAAAAAGACTAAAAAAGAGAAAAATAACAAAATTTTCAAACCCTATAACATTGGGTGGACGCTGCTGATTTATTCTACTTTCAGTATAAGTGGAAATGCAATAATGTGTATGTGTTGTATATTATGGCTAACAAGCAAAAAATAGGTTTGAGCGTTGTAGGCGTGTCCTTTGGTGGATTTGGGTCATTTTTAAATTCTTTTGTATATATGTAGGCAATATCTTCTTTTTTGCGCATGGGAGAAGATTTACCGCATATATTAGATAGTTGTTCAGACGGACAAATGGACAGACAAACCGATGGACATGTTTGGGCCCATTCCGAATTTGAAACGGTAGAAATATTTACATACTTTAGAGAATTTTTGGAAAAAAAGTGTAGATTTTAGTTGGGTATAGTAAAATATATTAGATTTTGGTGAGGCGTGGCAAATTTGTCCCATTTCTGTGCAGGCATTACAGCATTGCCCGTAGGATATATGGAACATACGTTCAGGTTATTGTAGATTTATTTGCATAGTTCATGAGTAATGAGCAAAAAACCAATTTTTTTATTATGTTTGAGAAACAGAGGCGTTCTTAGTTTACGTGATACGGTACGCCTGTCCTTCTTGCGAGAATTTTCAATTTTTCTTTCAAATTTGAAGACGATAGTTTCACTTTTGCGGTTACAACAGCTATTACATAGATGGACAGACGGACAAACAGACATGCTTAAATCAATTCAGAATTTTATGGTGATCTACAATATCTATACTTTGTTGGGTCACTGTTTTGACAAAATGATTATCCATCCTTCGGTATTGAATACTAGAATTGTGTTATTTTACCCTACACCACTTCTGGTACAGGGTGTAATATGTTAGTGCGAAAGTATGTAACACCCGGAAGGCTTAAGACAGGTTCGCCTTTTTCTTTTATTATACCTATCGGTTCAGAATCATTTTCTAAATCGATCTAAACCTGTCTGTCCGTCTGTCCGTTTGATGGCTTTTCATGTATTTTTGTATTCAATCTGCAGGTCGCAATTATTGAGATATTTTGATGAAATTTCGTATACAGACGTACTTTGGTTTGGTCTACTTCTCCGACCACTCGCAATATAACCCCCTATCTTGAAACGCCGTTATGCACTTTTTAAGGTTTCTCGTTAAAGTTAGCTAAGTGATAGTAATTTGACTTTCTAAATCGGAAGTGGTGTTGGGTATCTAACGGTCGGCTTTGCTCAATTATATTGTTCACACTTGTTATTAAAAACTGGGACTTTGTAGCTACTAATCTAATCGAAATAACTTCTTCGATACAAAGGCGAACATAATTTTCATCCAACCGTATGGATAGTGATAAGTACAGCAATTGTGGTAATGTGAAAAGTGCAATTAAAAATCGAAGCAAATTACGTTCACTTTATAGCGACATTTAGTTTCTTTTTGCTTCAAGTCATTGTACCGTTAAATTTAAAGTCTTAATGAAACCATAGTGAATAGTTGCGAACGATTTCAGATCAACGGGTATTATAAAATATAGTAATGTTAGCGGGTCTGCATTGTTTCCTGCCCACAGTTATCTACCTATATCATTCTTAAATATTTAAGGGATCATTTAAGGGATCATGGTTTTACCCATTTAGCAAAGGGTACTCGAGGTACCACCATATTCAAGAGGCGTTAAGGCAGTATATCGACTATGTGCTCTAAGAGTTTGCGTCCCATATCGCATTGTGTCATAATGCCAACCGACCTGCGGGCTAAGGAACATGTCCACAAAGCCGAATTACAACACCTGTGGGATGACAAAGACAAGCGGCAAACAAAATTCCAGGTTGTGGAGTAATGGCAGAGTCACTGGAGTAGGGCGAAAGGCAGGTGAGATTGACGACTACGTAACTGGTTATTAAGCGGCCATTGGTGTTTCCGAGCGTATTTGTATAGGTGTAAATTTGACCAGCACCCATTTTGTAGCTTTTGTGAAGCACCAAGGACGACGAACATGATTCTTGGCCTGTCTGTAATACAACGTCGTTTTTCTCTTTGACAATCTCATAATAAATATGCGATCAATAAAAATGGAAAGCGACTGGAGTGTTTGCCGCAAATATACTGTCGGAACAAAGAAACGAAGAGCAAGAGTGTAAACATAGGCACATAGCTAATGCTTTAACAGCAAACCTTCTTGTGAAGGTATATCTAAGATAGGGGTAGGAGTATAGATGGATGCGAACAAATGATTGGTATGTTCTCTTCGTTACATAGTTGTTACACGCAACCGCCCGAGGATGTGCGTTTAGTACCCAAAAGGAATTCTATATATTTTCAGGGTGAGCTTCAATTCGTAAATCGATAATTATATGTAACGCGAAAGCTTTGAAGCCTTCGCCTGAAACTGACATTTGAAGTTAGAAATGTTGCACGATAATGAGTGGAAGCTCTTTACTGCGAATGTATTCAAATAAATCATTGTTCAATTGTAAAACTTCATTAACTAAGCCAGTATAAAACTTTGTTAAACTTATCAGTAAATCGTTCATGACATCGTTGACGTGGGGATAAAGATTTTAAAGATTTTAATTTAAACAAGGATGGTCTCTGTTCGCAACGCCGATGTATACACGCATCAGAGACTTCAGAAAGCATTTATTTTTATTAACGTCAATCATCCAGATGGCGGAGGTACATTCGTTTCATAAAAACGTTTGCTTCATGCAAAATTCTGAACCTGCTCGCACTGTGATTGTGAACATTTTTCAACTTTAAAATCGCTAAAAAAATTTTAAAGTTTTTTCACGGGCTTTGATATTGAAAATTGATCGA